AATTACGACGATCTCGTTGATCTGGCGTTAGGACCATTATGAGGGATTAAAGGTACAGCCAATACTCGCCTTTCTTTGCAGCCAGAGAATAAGAGATGCAAAGCAGAAGTTTCCCATGAATTAGGAGACATCCAGGTAATAGGGAGAGTGCTTTAGGTAGGATATAAGATAAAGAAGACAACCGCCCTCATGCCAAGTTATGCGGTTTTGACGGAAGAAATAATAATAATTGTATTTAATGTCAGTCTACAGGCACTGTCAGGAAAAGATGAAACACAAATCCGTCCAGCAGGGACAAAACTCCTCTCAAATAAATTTTATGGTTGGTTTTTATAATTTGAAGGATTCAGGAGAGAAAAACTGCTAACCACAAAATGTTCACAGTCAAGAAATGAGGGGTTACACTGTATCGGATATTATCATGACTTTGGGGCTGGTCCAAACAGAAGCACCGAAAAACAGCTGTCGCTGTTGGCTAAGGAAATTGTCCCTGCTGAGAACGGCCATAGGGATCAGAAACCACGAACGCCATTGCTACGGCATAGTCGATCAGTGTATTCAGCACCCAAAATTTTTGGGAGCTTTTTTGAATGCAAAAAGCAAGTAATAGCTCTCTGGGTAGTTTATTCCAAATTGCATTTACAGAAAAGAATCGACGATATTTAACAGTACGTACCATAAGAAGAATTCAAAAGACCTCACGGTGACTGTTAGGTCGAGGGTGGACAAGACGTCTTAAAGCAATGAGTGGTATGATTACATAAAAGCTTAAATAGTAAAAATTGTCCCTTTTGTAATCCATGAAACCAAAATGGATCAAGGCCTGTTAGCCGGAAACATTCTTTGTAAGACAAATGTTTGTGTTCCGGGGTTAAACCACTCTTGGTAAAAAAAGCGTTGAACGGATTCTATTTTCCTCCGCTTAGAAGCATGCATGAGGTCAAAAAAAACGAACAGTATTCCAGGCCAGGTCGAACGCATATGTTATAAAGACGCATTCCAATATCTCTGGTTTTAAAGTTTCGGAAGATACACCCGGTCGTTCTACGTGCTTTGATGATTATCTGCAGGCAGTGCTCCGAAAGATCGAGGCTCTTGGAGTGTGCTACACCTAAATCCCTAATAAACCCAGGCACATTTATTTCGTACCGTCAGTAATTGGTTGAGGTTGGTGGTCGTCGTCAACCACCATGACTGGGCATTTATGCCAAGAGAGAGAAAGGCGCCATGTGCGGCACCACTGGGCAAAGGCCTTTAGGTCGCTCTTTAGGAGCTCAAGCATTATGTCACGATCTGCCGGCTTATATCGATATGCAACCTTAAGATCATCGGCATACATGAAAGGCTTACGATTCTGAAATAATTCTGGTACCTCGTTAACAAAATTCAAAATAATAACGGGCCGAGTACACTACCCTGAATCGAAGTCATCTATGAGAAGGGCAGAGTCAGCAATTAGAGAATGGTTCCAAGATTCTGTTATACATCTTAGTTCGGGCGTCATTTCGAGAGCAATGGCTCTGATTTGGCCCATCTTGTTTATAACAGATCTGCCCTTCAATAGTATAACATCCAACGTGTTTCGAACAGCAAGGCTATTGTCGACGGTATTTAGAAAAACAGTTTGGAGGCGGATATGTAAGCTGTGAATAAATTATGCCTGGAGAATAAGTACCAGTTAGTCTAAAGTCATTGGCGTAGGCGGAGTCAGCATTAGAAAGCTGTGAATGAGACCTACAGGATTTGCGGATATATTTTTCGATCATTGGAATGCTTGGGGAGTTAGAAAAGGCATAGCCTTGTTGGTAATTTAATTGTGGAGGAGGGGAAAGTGGACGAGGAGGGAGCTTAGAAGAAAGGGAGAGGTTGGTGGGGGAAGGTTAGCAGCTTTAAGAATAAAAGCGTGGGAAGCCGGGGTTAGGTTGGAAGTCAAAGGAGTCAGGTTAACTTACCTGAGAGCCGTTGGTCATAAGTGGCGGGAATCCTGAACCAAGTTGGGGGATAAATGACTTAGGGCAATTCACGTATGAATTATTTGATCAGAATGAATTGCGAAGATTGTTTGACTGAGTACTATGGTTAAATGCTGAAATCAGAGAAATATTCGAACCATTATTAATGCGAAAGTGGAGAAAGCAATCTGCCTTCGGACTACAAAAATTTGAGCTTAGTAAGCTGACATCTATCCCTGTTCGAAATACTTGGATGTGTCCTCCTTAGGAGTCTTCCAGTAAAATGTCTTTGAACATTTTCAATTCTTAAATTAAGAGACTCGTT